TGTTAATTTTTTGAAGTAATTAAGTAATGTTGTATAATTATTCCCTAGAATAATTTTAATATGTTTAATGTTATTTATTATTTTATTATCAAATTGGATTATTATTCATTAATATTACGTTTTATTATTCCATATCATTTTTATAATTACTTAAATTCTTACAATCATTTTCTTTACTTCCTATTTAATACTTCCTATTTAATTCTTCTGTAGAATAACTTTACTTCCTATTTAATATGTTTCCGTCACTACTATATTTTTTGGCCAAAAAATAATTGCCTAATTTTCATGAAAAATAAATATAGGTACATTTAAGATGTCCAGTAGAGCTACTAAACGTGATCCAACTTGGAAACATGGAGACCCAATAGACGGAAACAAACATGGCACAATTTGCAAATATTATGGTCGGGTAATGAAGAGTGGTGGAGTGACACGACTTAAGTACCATCTTAATGGATTAGATCCAGCACATAATGTCCAACGATGCGATAATGTCCCCCCAGAAGTGAAGGCATTCATCACCACATTATTAAAAAATAAAAAACAGCAGAAGGAAAAGATAACACATGGAATGGAAAATATTCGAGCTGGGCTACGAGGAGAAGTCATTGGCCAAGCGGTTGACAGTGATGATGATGACGATGAGGACGAATGTGATGATGACATGGGACCTGAAGAACGACGTAGTTTGAAACAAGCATTACGTGCCTCCAAACAGTCAGCATGGGAAAGAGAACACCTTCATAAAACTCCTAATAGGGCACAAGGTTCTGGGACAAGTGGTGGTGCACAAATAAGATGGGGAGCAAGTGTTAAAGAATCACAACCAACACCACCAATAGCCTCAAGTTTATATAAGTCATCCAAAGCACGTCAAAAGAGTGTTTGGAGTTATTTCACTGGAGGTAATGTGAATGAGGGAATGGGGCATCTAATTAGCAAGTTATTTATCTATGAAAATGTCCCTGCTGAGAAGGCATCATCACATCATTTCAAAAATATGGTATTGGGATGTCAACAGGCCGGTGTTGGAGTACAACCTCCCACTCCCTATGAGGTAAGAAACAAATATTTGGAAATGGAGTATAAAGACATTGGCGAGTATGTTAACAAGTTGAGGTCAAAGTGGGAAACTAATGGTTGTACAATCATGTGTGACAGATGGACTGGCTCGACCAGATTGTCTATCATAAACTTCATGGTATACTCCAAGGGAAAGACAATTTTTTTGAAGTCTGTTGATGCTTCAGACCATATAAAGAACTACAAGTATATTTACAAATTATTGAGGGATGTAATCATGGAGGTGAGAGAGCATAATGTTGTCCAAGTCGTGACCGACAACGGTTCTGCATTTGTTAAAGCTGGAAAAAAGTTAATGAAACATCATAATGTGTTTTGGACATCATGTGCAACACATTGTATTGATCTCATGTTTGAGGCAATGGGGAAGAGAGAGAATATTGCTACTGTCATAAAAAGAGCTAGAACGATCACAAATTATATTTACAATCACGGTTGGTTGTTGGAAAAGATGCGTGAATTTTGCAAAGCATAAATTATTCGTCCAGCTACCACTCGATTCGCCACCAACTATATTGCATTAGACAACCTACTTAAGAAGAAAGCAGGGTTGAAGCAATTATTCACTAATGACGATTGGGCCAACCACAATTTAAGTCGCTCAAATGCAAGTCGTATGGTGGAAAGTATAGTGCTTGATCATGCTTTTTAGACTCAATCAGAACATGTGTGTCAAGTATTTGAACCTCTTTACAAAGTTTTACGGATTGTTGACACAGAAGTGTATCCTACTATGGGGGCAATATATGAGTTGATGCGTGTAGTGAAAGATGACTTGGAAAGAAAACATGGTGCAAGGTGGGTCATAAGGATAATTGATGACCGATGGTATAAAACATTATACCACGATTTGCATGCAGCAGGTATAAATTATGTCATAATTTGCAATTCATTTCTTTAGTTGCATAAGTATTATTTCTCTTATTAGAGTATGTGTTTCTTTGAACAGCATATTATTTGAATCCTCGATACCAATACAGACCCGGTGTTGGAGATAATGGTACCCTTATACGTGATATACATAATGTATACTCTAAATTAGACCCTGCATCACCAGCAGTTGACCAATTTGGAAATGAGGTACACAATTACTTAAATTATAATAATTACATTGTTGGATTAAACTAATACGATTTATTGAATTCAGCTAACATGGTTTAAAGATGCAAAAAGAACTTTTGGAAAACCAACATTAGTTACTGCTCGAACAAAAATGTCTCCTAGTGAGTGTAAAACTATCAGTTTATAATAGAATTTGCAATTCATTTCTTTAGTTGCATAAGTATTATTTCTCTTATTAGAGTATGTGTTTCTTTGAACAGCATATTATTTGAATCCTCGATACCAATACAGACCCAGTGTTGGAGATGATGGTACCCTTATACGTGATATACATAATGTATACTCTAAATTAGACCCTGCATCACCAGCAGTTGACCAATTTGGAAATGAGGTACACAATTACTTAAATTATAATAATTACATTGTTGGATTAAACTAACACGATTTATTGAATTCAGCTAACATGGTTTAAAGATGCAAAAAGAACTTTTGGAAAACCAACATTAGTTACTGCTCGAACAAAAATGTCTCCTAGTGAGTGTAAAACTATCAGTTTATAATAGAATTTGTTGGAGTTATTAGGCTTATCAACATTGTTTTTCATTATAGCTGAATGGTGGATCATGTATGGGACTGATGCACCAACTGTGAGAAAGTTAGCAATCAAAGTATTATCACAAACAGCTTCCTCATCTGCTTGTGAAAGAAATTGGAGTACATTTGCACTCATACACACAAAGCAAAGAAATAGGTTGGCTCATAGTCGGTTGGAAAAATTAGTTTATTGCTACTACAACATGAAGCTTCAAATTCGAGATAAGGAAGCAGAAATAGATCATGTCGACCGTGGTGACCCACTAGATGTGTTTGATATTGTTGCTGAAGATGATGATATAGAGGGTAACCAACTTTATTAATGGATTAGACCTCTTCATTTAGATGATGATAAAGGCAACCCAGCTCCCAGAGTTGCTGAAGAAGCACGTAATGAAGGGATAAATGTAGAAAGAGTATTAGATGAGGAGGTGGGATCTAGCATCGCTGACTCTTTGGAAGAACTTTTGCGCCCAAGACCAAGAAACACTGGAATTCCACCTTCTTCCAATCCTACACAACCACAAGATCATACTGATACTAATGATAGCTCTACTACAAGATCAGGAGACTCACCTACCACCGGAGGTGGAGCTGGAGGTAGTGGTGAAGGATATAGTGGAGCTGGAGGTAGTGGTGGATATGGAAACTATGTTGGACCACCTCCCGGATTTATGAGCCCCTTCACTGGTGAGGCAAACTTCACGCATGCAACACAGGATGAGGACCATGGCAGTAGGCGGGCAGGACCAGGAATTGGTGCCATAGGGAAGGACTATACTCGTAGAGAAAGAGGCAAGGGGATTTTGTCAAGTCAAGAAGATGACTTGTTATCTATAACTTCGGACTCTGTTGGAGTGGGAAGTAGTAACTATGGTTATACTCATAACCAACCATTTCCCTACCCTTCATATCCCATTCCTGTTGGGATGGAATCGAGCGACTCATGGAAAGAATCCAAGACTCAATCTTCAAATGATTTTGCTTATGGACAACGTCAACGAATCTCGGATCCATATGGGTGGCATGTTAACAATTACATACAAAACTATTTTGGGGATTTATCATTTGATAACTACTCTTCACAATACACTTACTCTACACATAGAGATGATGAAGATAGTGAAAAATTTGAACCTCATAGGAACTCTATGTGGTACTAAGTCACTCATGTATCTTACCATGCAATGTATAAAGTGTAAAATATTATACTACTTCATTATATATAAATGATTATGGTGTGTTTAAACTTCTTTCATTAATTACTACATATTTTCTACACTCACAATGTTTGCCAGCTCGCTATATAATCAACTTAAATAAGTTAAATCCATCATGCAATGCATTTCCTTCCAATTTTTTGTGATAAACTAATAGATAATTAACTGAATAAACATCCTGTAAAGTTTCAATAAAAATTTCCAAGTTTTTCTTACAATTTCCGTGGTTTTTTATTCAATTTTTATCGATATCGATAATATCCCGATATTTCCATTGATATTTCCGTGTTTTTGGACTACCGATATTTCTAATATCATCGATATTTTATACCTTGGTTAAGACCCACCTATTTTAAAGAGTATAACCAAGTCAGATAGTATTACTAAAACAAGACACATTAAGGTTTGAGATTTTAAGTGAAAATGGAAGATCTAGTGGTGTCGATAATGAATTCTACATTGATGAGATGAGAGATTATGCAAAGGCTTAAAGAAGTTCGGCTACTCCCCATATTACCAAGTGATTTAATGTTGAAACCTCAACTTTTTTCATGGTATCAGAGTAGATTGTCCCACATGTGAAGTCAAACAGCCACACGCGTTTCACGTCATCCGCTTATGTTGTCCTTGTGTTAGGCTTGAAAATTCATCACACGTGAGGGGGCGTGTTGAGAATGAATCTCACATTGAAGAGATGAGAGACCATGCAAGGACTTACAAGAGGTTGAGACACTCCCTTTATTGCTAATTAATTTTATAGTGAAAACTCAATTTTCTTCACCTGGTGCTCGAACGCAATGCTCTCAGCACTAAACTAAGGTGGTGCAGATGGCTAATTGACTAGATAGAAGTTAGAACCCTAGAAGGTAGAACCGTAGAGATGGGTGGATGGCCAGTCAAATACTGAAAAGGTAAAAACCATACACGGGTGGCACTGTTCGCAATCCCATGGTACAGAACAGGATTTTCATGCTCTCTCATGGAATGCTTTTCCATCTGTCATTACGTATTCTCCTTATAAATTTTTTTCTCACATCCACAGAGTGACAGTGATGCAAGAGTGACGAAAGTTGCGTTAGACTCGGATCCTGTCTCCAATGGTAAAAGCTTACATTCTGCAATGCACACACAAATCTTGGTCCCCCACCCCCCTCCCTTCTCTCTCCTCTATTCTAAAAAGCAAAAGCTCTTTCGCCAATGAATAACTGCGACTGTTAATTACTGCTAGCCAAATTCCCCCCCCCCCTCTCTCTCTCTCTCTCTCTCTCTCTCTCTCTCTCTCCAGGGATATGGATGACTATGGACCTCCAGATCTCCGGCATCTGATGGCCTCAAAAACCCAGTTTTGTAAGCCCTTACAATTCCCAGAGCAATTTTCAGTACACCTCAATCTTACGCCTCCACCGCCACCGCCGCCCCATTATCATCACCACCCCATAGCGGTAGGCAGTGAGATTGTTGCAGCTGCTGGCTTGCTTGATCATCATCGTTATACTAGTATGATCACTACAACTGCTTGTCATCCTAGTATTACTATTAGTGGTAATGCTTCTGCTGCTGCTGCGATGTATGGGATAGAGTCGGAGCATGGATGGAATAATATTGATGGAGCAAATAATAATAATAGTAGATGGCCAAGACAAGAAACCCTTACTCTTTTGGAGATTAGATCTGCTCTTGATTCCAAGTTCAAGGAGACTAATCAGAAAGGACCCCTGTGGGATGAAGTCTCTAGGTATACCGTATTGCTTCTGTTCTTAATTTGTATACACTAATTTCCTTCTCAATTCTTTTCATCAACACAAAATATATGGAGAATGAGGTCACTACAACCAGCTGAGGTGTTTTCTTCCTTCTAATTTCTTGTAATATTTGTCATTTTTTTTCATTAATTAAGATGGATGTTCATCTTTTATTTCAACATAAACAAAAGAGAAATAAATTGAAAGTGTTAAATTTCATTTATTTTACTTCTGAAATCCTAGCTAGCCTACTTATTGTTTCATATATTAATGTTATTTTCTTAGATACTGTCAGGCTTTTTGATGAATTAATGTTTGATCTTCTGAGATAATTTAGTGCATGAAAATGACAGTATTTGAGTTAACTAGAGATCGACCCAGGTCTTCTTTTTTTAATCTTTTTCTGGTTTTGGTATGCAAATTGACTGGTCCAAGAGCAAGAGTAGTTTTCTCGTTGAGAGGCCTTCTTGTTCAATTAGGGCAATGGACCTGCTTAACTCCTAAAAAAGGCCATACATTTCATATGACATCGATCTAAGGTGGAATACTTTTATTAATTTAAACCTTAAGTAACTGAAATTCTTAAACTGAAAATTCTAGCTGAATATATAGTAATCTCAATGACTTATAGTCTATATAAAGGAAGGAATGGTGTGGCTATCTTGATAATATTACAATATATAATTTCTACACGATCATATCTTAATTTAATATTTTGAGGATATGAGAAATTAAGTACATGAATATTTTGTCTATAATTTTAATAAAAGATGTTCCTGTTGTTCTATTTTCGTGATGTATAGGATAATGGCTGAGGAACATGGATTCCAGAGAACTGGGAAGAAATGCAAAGAAAAGTTTGAGAACTTGTACAAGTACTACAAGAAAACCAAGGAAGGGAAGTCTGGGAGGCAAGATGGGAAGCACTATAGGTTCTTTCGTCAGCTTGAAGCAATTTATGGAGATCATCATCAAAGTAGCAATCAGTCCTCCATTTACGGTAAATCAAACTCTCTTCTTTGTCACACTACTCCGAGTGGCAGTTTTGACCGAGATCAAAACCAAGAAGAAGTAGTTGTGCAAGACCAAAAGATTATAAGCTGCGAGAGCCTTAGTTCCAATAACTCAACTGAATTTGATCAAACCCCACCCTCGGAGAACAACGACGACAATGAGTCACTTTCAGCTATTGGTTATTTCATGATGAATCAGTCAATGGAGAGCCTTAAGAATGAGAATAAAAGTTATGCGACCCAGGTAAAGAAGAAATGGAAAGCAAAGGTGGAGGAGTTTGTGAGTTCACAAATGGGGAAGGTAATGAAGACCCAGGAGGCATTGATGGAGAAGATGGTAAAGAGTATTGAAGATAGTGCGGATGAGAGGATAGCTAAGGAAGAAGAATGGAGGAAGCAAGAGGCGGCCAAGTATGAGCGAGAAGTGCACGAGTTTTGGGCTAAGGAGAGAGCATGGGTTGAAACTCGAGATGCGGCGATAATGGAGGCTCTAAGCAAATATACAGGCCAAGGAGCTTACAACAACAATGGCAAGGACGATATTGCAAAAGAAACTGGTAATGATAACAGGAAGAATTATCCTAGATGGACTGAACATGAAGTTGCAAGTTTAATACAGCTGAGGACTAGCTCGGAACTCACATTCCAAGAAAGTGAGTATCTGAAGGAGGGGGGAGTGTGGGAGGAGATAGCTGCAAAAATGGGTAGTTTGGGCTACACAAGGAGTGGAGGGGAGTGTAAAGAGAAATGGGAGAATATAAGCATTTGTTTTAGAATGACAACAGAATGGAACAAGATGCACAAACAAGAAACGAAGACTAATAACATGTACTTTAGTCAGATGTCTTGTTATGAAGAAGGCCCGGAAGTTTGGAATCAAAGGCAGGATGGGATGGGAGTTCAACTAATGGATGAGGGAGTTTCACCATCGTGTTCTAATATGGATGTGAACTCTAGCTCATTGCACATTCCATTTAATGGAGGAGAAAACCTGTGGGACGAGAGATACTCTCATGTAACCAACTCACCGCGTGACAACTGTTAATTGGACAGGTGATGCATTTTTTGAACACATGATACACATCTATTATACTGGTGAAAAGGAACCAGTATGGAACTGTGAAGCTCATCAGCAATGGAAAAAGAACCAGTACTAAGTTTAGAGCAAGGTAATTAATTAATTAAAGAGATAATTGAGTTCTTTCTATGAGTAAATAATAAATATGTGACTTAATTCTTATCGTAGAGTTTTGCCAATGTGTTTTGTTTCTGGAGAAAGTGCTTTTCTAATTTGTCCAGGTAAGAAAGCATTGACTGGGGGCCTTTTATTAAAAGGTTAAAGTGTAGGATTATTTCCTCATGGTCTTTGTTGATTAATTTTCTTTCTGAATGGATGTGTTCCTAATCAAGCAAGGTTCCTTAACCCAAAAAAAGTCACTTTGACTACATATCATGTTATATAGCATGATTAATTACAGCGGGGGAGAAAAATGAGAATTACACAAGCAGCTGTCTAAAAAAGTACCTTTCATGGTTTCAGACTGCAGGTTTGTGAATTCTAATTAATACCATGTCTTCCAACTGAAAAGTCTGAAGACCCTTTTGTTTTTAGCCTTGTTTGGGAGTGTTTTGACAGTACCAAAAGTGCTTCAACTATTTGTGTTTTGAACTGCAAAACTACTTCAAGATATATAATTAATGTTTTCTAATAGCATTTGTGATAAATAGATAATTATGTATTCTAGAACATCATGTACATACGTTTCTTCACAAGCATTAATTCTAAAATGGATATGTAAGAGCACTAGGGGTTTAGTTAGTTACACACACACACACTTAACATAAGAACCGCTATGCAAGAAGGACGTACTTGGGGTTTTTATGAAAATTTGATTATGTTACTAGTAAAAAAAAACTACTACGAAGCACTCAAGTTTTTAATGAAATTGATACTGCGTTACACTCGGATTCTTAATGAAGTATATACATAGTTATAAGCAAATTCCTACTAATATGTATGTGTAAAAGTTTTTGATATAGAATCATCAGGATTTATAGCATATATATACACTATCATTTCGAAAAAAGTACATGCTCCTTGGGTTTGTTATTTTTATTGTTTTAGAGCGTGTACTTCTGATTTAGGTTCTAAAGTGTTAGGAATAGATGACTTAATATCGATTATCAATTACGTTGATCAGTACTTAATTAGTACATTGTCAATATTTTTTATTGTATTTATTTATATTTGATTGCTTTTTAGTAATATCGATAAAAAAACTAATGATAATCTCAAGTGTCGGTATCTCACTGCCTTAATTGCATGCACCACGATTATTTGGTTTAACCTGATTATTTCCTTATGAATTTTTATGGTTTCTTGCCAAAAACAAATTGATCAACATCCACAAACCTAGGGCTACCAATGGTCATGGATTAAACATCGAACAAGAAACCACAATACTTTGAAAACTCATGGAGAAAGTGAGAAAAGAACCTATAAACCCATTATGTAAAAAAATATTATCAAAAGAGTTAGCTTCTCAGAACATATGCTCAATACCTTAATTAAGGTTTCTTGCAATTGCATGCATGTACCCAATTAATTGCTCATATTCACAATTTACATCTTACAGTTGAATAGTAGAGACACATTGGTCATCAGATACTGAGTTACTGACAGTAAAGTCATGCATGGATTCATGGCAGCACGTACCTTCACACCATTTGTAAGTAAATAAATTTTGTTTATTTACTGGGTAACTGAAGCCATACGTTACCCGGGCAGGGGAACACCAACGGTAAAAACCGTCCTTTCATGGAGATCAGCAGCTCGCCCAGGCTGGGTCAGCCGCATGAACCCTTTGATATGTATGTACGCAGATACCAAGAATTCTGCAGAAATTTTCTATTACCATTAGAATCCGAGGTAGTAATAAAATAAGAGCTTTAGATTTATATTACCAGGAGGCAGGAGCTAAAAGGGATTCTTCACATATTTTAGACCAATTTGAACTCTGCAATGTGTTATGCGTTTGTTTGAAAACTTTGACAGTACGTTAATTGCTAGCTAATACAAAATTAATTAGAAATCTGATGAATGGTGAGCGGAAGCCCAAGCCTAACAGCTATGTGTTTGATTTTTATTATAGAGAAACTCCCTTTTAAATAAATAAAAAATAAAAGAAAAAAAGATCCAACCTGAATAACCATGAGTTTAATTATTAAGATTATTTTCAAATAAGATATCAAATTTTAAATATAAAATTTAAATTTAATATTCTATGTGACAATTTAACATTTTTTAAAATTATAACCTTCGAAATTGAACTATTATTTTATTACATTATTTTTTTTTTATAATTTTTATTTTTATATTATATATTTTACAAATATAAATAACTTCCACGATCCCAGCCCTTCCACTTCTTCTTCCTTATTGACCCAAACCCCAACCCTTCCTGATATTCCAAAACCTCACCCCACCTCTTCGGAGGCCCCCAAATCCCATCTTGACGGTGGAGACGAGCTTGACCGATCGATCACTGTGTAAGTGATCGAGTGGAGGTGCAGAGAGAAAAGACGACAACGAAGAGGGAGAAAGGGCGATGAGAAGGGTTTTGCGGGGATTTTGTGAACATGTTCGTGGGCTGGAATGGTGGTTCAAAAACCTCAATTGGTGAGAGGAGATGGCTATGGGTTTGGGCAGAGAGAGTGGAAGAATGAGTAGCTTCTATTTAAATGGGGGAATCGAATCGACCAATCGGGAAGATGAAATTGTCGTGTTAGTTCTATTTCTGGTTCGGCAGGATGTAGAGATAGAAGAAAGGAAGGAAGGGGAAGAGGGAAGAGAGAGAAAGAAAGGATGCAGAGATGAAGAAGAAGATTTTTTTTTTTTGTTTTTTGTCTTTTTCAGTTTGTTTTGAAAGAAGTGGATTGGCGACATGGAAAAGTGTTAATAAGATCATCTCCTCAAATATGCCAAATAAGATTAAAAAATATTTATATGTTCTTCGATTGATATGCTATATATGATGTGGCATACGAGTTATTTGATTCATTGCTTTCTAGCTTTTTTTTTATTATTATTATAGCAAATAAAGAAATAGTCAAATATATTTAATTTGTTGTAAACATTCCTAGAATAAATGTGAGTGTGTAAATCCTAGATTTGATTTGATTCTAATTATTCTTTCCTATTACAACTTGTATTACTTGGAGGAGAAGGAATATCTTCTCTCCCTTTACTACTATAAATAAAGGTACAATGTATGAGGGATAACAACACATACATTCCCCTACAATTCTACAAACACACATCTCTCTCCTCTCTCTCTGCCGCCGGCCCTAGTCTCTCTGTCAAATAAAAATAGATTACAACACGTTATCAGCACGCTCCTACCGTTGCGCTTAGGAATCTGACGTTGGAGATTTTTTTTCTGCATCAAACCAGTTCATCTATATCATCACGCAATCAGGTTCTTTCCAAACAACGGTTTTTAACGATATTTTGTAAGCCCTAATAGCATGAACATTCACCATGATGCATGACCCAACTTTACGTTTAACGTATTTTAGATTCTACATAAATTGTGTATGCTTCATCACCAAAATTGCTACAATTATGTGAATTTGATATTTGTCATGAACTGAATCTTACATATGTACATGCATTGAAACTATTATTTGCATATGCATCAACGTAAATGTGTGATTCATTAGAATTATACATGCATATAATATAATTGCATTAAAAAAAATTTTGCAATTGGGGAATTAGGGTTCTTCGAACCCGTGCTTTTCCCGAGCCGAGAACCAATCCTGGAGCCACGGCTCCAGGCCCAACACCCAGACCCGACACCCAGCAGGCGTCGCCACCCTTGAAATCATCAACCAACATGGCCTGCAACCATGCCCAGTTACCCCCGACGACCTGCAGTCGTCCCCGACGAATTTTTTGTCTGCAAATTCAATTTTTTTTTTAAATTATAATCGAATTTCTAGGGTTTTGACAATGAATATCGAGATTTTTTAAATCTCTGTTCACCCCCATGGTCACCATGACTCAAATCGAGTCTTTCACTATACGGTTTGAAACAATCCGGAAGAATGTGGTATAACCGTCTGAGTAAGTATTTGACTAGTCAGGGATATGTGAACAACGAACTATGCCCTTGTGTGTTCATTAAGAAGTCACATTCCAGATTTACGATTGTTGCAGTATATGTCGATGACATGAATCTCATCGGAACTCCTGAAGAGCTCGCGAGAACTGCTTCGCACCTGAAGTCGGAATTTGAGATGAAATATCTAGGTAAGACTTGATACTGTCTCGGTCTCGAGATACAGCGTTGTTCGGATGGAATCTTAGTACATCAATCGAACTACACCCAGAAGGTGCTGCGCCGTTTTAATGAGGATAAAGCGAAGTCTTCGAGTACTCCTATGGTCGTTCGTACGCTAGATGCAAAACGAGATCCCTTCCGTCCGAAGGAGGATGATGAAGAGATTATGGAACCTGAAGTTCCTTATCTAAGTGCGATAGACACTTTATTGTACTTAGCTCAATGCACTAGACCCGACATCTCCTTCGGTGTTAATCTTTTGGCAAGATACAGCAATACACCAACACGCAGACATTAGACTGGCGTGAAAGACATCTTCCGTTACCTTAAGGGTACTACGGATTTGGGCTTATTCTATCCCTACGAATCCTCGAGTGATCCCGCACCCTATGCTCATCGGGTTGATTCTCGCCTTGTTGGTTATGCCGACGCTGGATACTTATTTGATCTGCACAAGGCGCGTTCTCAAACGGGTTATGTCTTTACCGTTGGAGGCACCGCAATATCTTGGAGGTCAACTAAACAGACCTTAGTTGCCACTTCGTCTAACCATGCTGAAATTCTCGCCTTACATGAAGCAACTCGGGAATGCTTTTGGTTGAGAGCAGTAATGGGCCATATTCGAAGCTCCTGTGATCTTCATCCCGCCGTTAATGCCCCGACGACAATTTTTGAAGACAACGCAGCTTGCATCGAACAGCTCAAGAAGGGTTACATCAAAGGAGACAACACCAAGCATATTGCGTCGAAGTTCTTCTTTACACATCAACAACAAGATTATCAGAAGATTGAAGTCACGCAAATCCGATCACAAGACAATCTGGCCGACCTCTTCACCAAATCGCCACCGAAGGCGATGTTTCAAAAGCTTGTTCATGGAATTGGTATGCGTAAA